ACAGGCTCCAGGCTCTGAGTCATCAGCCCAGAGCCCGACGCGGGGCTCGAACTCACGGACCGCGAGATCGTGACCTGGTTGAAGTCGGACGCTTAACCAACTGCGCCACCCAGGCGCCCCGCTCTTTTCATTTTTTTAAAAAACCTAATACTTGGCTCATGATATATATATGATATATATCATATATATAATGAAAATGTGGATTTATATAACATTTTACTCCAAGGCTGACCTAGATTAACAGAGAAGAGCTCCCCTCCCCTGTCCTCTCTCCCCTTTCCCCCCTCCCCTTCCCTTCTCTCACCAGTCCATCTTTCTCCCCCCAACCTCTCCAACCCTAGGAAGACACCTTATGATAAAAGGACTCTAGGAAACTTCTTTTCCCATTTTAGAACCACAACAGGGGTCTTTGGAGCTTTTTCTGACCAGGTACCCAGGTGTTCTGAATATTAAAAGGAAGCAAAAGCCTGGTGAGGCTGGAGGAACATGTCATTTCATGTTCACGGCTCACATTTGACATTAGAGGTCCCTCCCCTCCCTGGGCCTTTGCTACCACGTCCCCCGCCCCCAGGTAGGCCTGCCTGTCCTATCTGTAGGCCCTTGGTCTTCCCAGAGAGCAGACACTTGCTGACAACACATGCTACAGTCACCGCCTTCTGCTTGGGAAATTGATACTTGATCCTATATTTGAATTGAATAACCTTCTGAGAAGGAAGGCTATTGTCAGTCTCTGGAATCCTGCCGGCCTCATAAATTGGGCTCTAAATTAGGCTATAGATGATCTCAACTCCTTTGTTAGCTGAAACACTGCAGGTGGAATCCTCCCCAAAGCCTGGCCACCGGCCCTGTTGGTAGAGTGACTGAAAACTCGCTGCCTGTTGCAGTTGGCCGGCTGGAAAGAAAATTCTGGTGTGGAGGGAAGTGGCGCGCAAGCAAGTGAATGGGAGTCCCGAGCTGAAGAAACAGTGGGCTCAGGGTCCTAGGCTTTGAAGGTAGGGTTGGCTGCCCGCGGTGGGCTCCCAGGAGCTCAGTGCCAGGACAGGCAGGGGTCAAGCCAGGTGTGTGAGGGGGGTCAGGCTGGGACATGGGCCTTCCCTGGAGCTCAGGGCTGGTTCAGCAAATTCCACCTGTTGCGGAGTCTGTCTCCCTGCCTCCCTTCCTTTGTTGCTGTGCTCATCTGTTCTTCCAGGCTCTCTGGGGGATGACTTTCCCAGGTATAGGATTATTCTTCCTCCGTAAGATTATAAAGCACCTACCAGTGGGCACAAGATTGTAAGCACCTGCCAGTCTGACTGTGGGAAAACAGCTCTGTTTGCCTAGAAGTAGGAAGTTCAGAGCCAAGGAAGAATAGTGTAGAGCCTTACCATGGAATGATACTTAAAGTTTCTGGTGAGGAGGAGGCCCGGACTGTACCCCAGGGAGCAGAACTACAGTGGCTGCTTCTCTGAGCTCTGGGGCCCACCCCCAGCTCCCCACCACCCACTGAAATTCTGAGGGTTTCCCACAGGTTTTTTGTTTTTGTTTTTGTTTTTGTTTTGCTGCTATCATGGTGGGGGTGGGGGAGACAGAGGGTATTTTAAAGCTTTGCTAAACTTTCAGCGATGTCTTCGTGTCCTGCGCCAGGCCTCATCCAATTTACCGCTTTTCTGGGTTTACATTCACATCGAAGGGTGGTCAGTCACCCTTTGAATTCGTGAGTGGCAGATGTGTTAAGATGGGTAGATATTTTCTAGAAAGGGTAAAACTAATGAGCTGTTGCCAAGAATTGGGGGAAGAGAATGATTCACAAAGCGCAACAGAGAGGAATTTGGGGGTGTGTGTAACAGAACCATCCTGTCCCTTGATTGTGGTGGTAGTTACCTGTGTACCTATGTCTGTAACTTTGCACCAGAGTGAATTTTATCATCTATAACTTTACAAAGGTGACCAAAGTTTTAAAAATAACATCGCTTGTTGAAGAGCGAGGCTATAGGTGTTGGGATCGGGGCACCCGGCTCGGGGCTCTCGTTAAGACAGTAGAGTGAGGCAGACAGCCTGAGCCTCAGAGTCTCTGCTCTGATTCGAGTTAGACCATCCACAGGCTGCGTTTACGCTAAACACCCTGCCCCTCCCCCCTCCCCCCAAAGAGGACAATAAAAACTATCTTGTGAGGTTGTAAGGATTTCAGTAAGATAATGCATCTAGCAGTGAGGAGAGGCTTTAAAAAATGGGTTTGTTGTTTTGGGGGGGGTGTTATCACTCCTTTTTGGCAACCACAAGTTTCCCTAAGACCTTTTAAAAAGAATATACCTGGCTTTCTTTATCAAGAGGCAGAAGCAGGCAACGAATTAGTGGGAGATAATCCAAGAAAGGAAAGGTTTTTTTTTATTTTTAAAAATTTTTTTTTTCAACGTTTATTTATTTTTGGGACAGAGAGAGACAGAGCATGGACGGGGGAGGGGCAGAGAGAGAGAGAGGGAGACACAGAATCGGAAACAGGCTCCAGGCTCCGAGCCATCAGCCCAGAGCCTGACGCGGGGCTCGAACTCCCGGACCGCGAGATCGTGACCTGGCTGAAGTCGGACGCTCAACCGACTGCGCCACCCAGGCGCCCCAGGCAAGGTTTAATAAAGGAAGAATCTTGTTTGTATTTAGATGGGGGATTTTAGACAGCAGCAGGCTCGTTAGGAAGGTGTTCCTGGGTTTTCCAGGGAACCAGTGAAGTCTGGGTACTTGTGGGCTTACCCAGTGGCTAAAGCGTGTACTCGCTTTGCAGCTGGGAGTCGGTTTTGCTCCGGAACTCCCTGCTGGGGCTGGCCATCCCGCACAGGGTTTCTCTACTGAAGCATGACCGCCCGAAGGCAGTCAGTTTCTTTACAACCCAAATCCTCCATGAAAAATTGCTGACTTCTTAGGGAGGCCCACCGGGGCACGGATTCTCAGAGCCTTCACCGTGTGCTTCAAGTGGCCCACGTGGGTACGTGCATTTCCGCTGTACGTTGTTGTAACGAGTGGGAGTGTTTCTCGTTAATTAAAGCTTCCCCCCCCCCCCGGTGTGCAGCTCTGTACGGGTTCCCCCCATTTTACAGCTGGGCCCATTAAGGCAAAGTCATTTGCTTGGGGCTTGGGTGCAGAGGAATTCGGCCACAGGGCCAAGGGCCAATTTTAGCATGCACTTCCTCCGATTGGAAGAACACTTCTTTTTCTGTTTCATTACTGCTGGCCCGCAAGCCTTTCTGCGGACTCTGGAAACAATCAGCTGCTGTTGGCCCCGGTTTACAGACGGTGCAGAAATTGCACCGGGGCCAGACAGGAGCTGTGGAAATCAGTGAGCCAGCTTCCTCCACTGTGAAGTTGCTCTTTTGTACTCACTGTTCTGGCCATAATACCTGCGTAATTCTCTCTTTCCTGTCTGCAGACTGTCTTGCTGGGGTGCTTTCTGTTTTTCCTACAAAGTGGGCTCCCCTCCCGCGGAGTTCCCCGGACAGTATCACTCTCCCCTAACCCCAGCTGCTTCCTTTCCAAGCCAGTAAGCTGCCACCAAAGAGGCTTAAAAAGGCCAACAAAGGACCAGAGCTTTCTCCCGCAGTATTGGAATAGCCAGCGTGCTGTCCGTGACGAAAGAAATTCGCAATAAGACACAGCCAGACGGTGTAGCTTTTATTATAGGACACAGGTCTCTCAAACCACCTCCTAGTTCCTCTTCTGTGGCCCGTCTTGCAGAAACCGCAACAATAATGCATCGCTGACACTTTCCAGTTTGGGTTTCCCTGGAGATGGACAGAGCGCTTGCAAAACAGTCGTCAGCCTCCTCTTTTTTCTCTCTCAAACATGACTGAATTTTCCCAAGGTTTTGAACCTTGGCGTATGTAGAGACAAGAAGTCTCCTTCACGTGAATGTTTCACTGCTCTACATAGTGTTTGTTTAAATCGTGTAATTAGAATTTCAGGTACAGCTGGCATACCTAGAATTAGAAACAAACACAGCTCATCCCATAGGAGCAGGAGTGTGCAGGCTCCCCGGCCCGCCCTGGCCCCCGGCCTTGGCCCCCAGAGTTGTTGAGAGGCTGCAGAGCCGCAGGGCAAGCTGGTGGGGGGGGGGGGGCGGGGGCTGCCACTGTCATCATTTAGCATCTCCTGCTGCTTCTCTCAGTTAATTAATGTTGTCAGCAACTCAGCCTCCTTCACCTGC